TAAAATATTTAATATTTTCTTCATATTATAATTCTTATATTATTACATATTTATATGTGTTGACAGAGCAAATGTGTTTCTAGGTGTTAGAATATTTTAAATTATCAGTACATGCTAATAATTTTTGAGTGAGAAAAAAAATGTGATGATATTAGTCTTTCATTTGCTTCAGCTTGACACGAAGCCTTAATTAGATGAGGTCATTAGAGACAAAGAATTTGGGTTTGTTTTTCTAAAAATCTAGTTGAAGTTTGTGAAGCATTGCAGGAAAGCTGAACTAATTACTAGAGAGTTAGAAAGCAACATGTTTTTAAGAGAGGTATGATAGAAGTTAAAGAGGAGGGTGTTTTCTGAGCTGATTTTAGAGGACATTGAACTTAAAGAAGGATTTAGTGCCAAGTCTCTAATCTTACTTAGCTTTCAAGAATATATTTGCATTTTCCCTCCATTCCCCAAGACCTTCTTTCCTTTGACCTGTCCGAACAACTACCTTATCTCCAGACATATTTATCTACCTTTGTATTGCATGACCCATGCAAAAAATTTCTAGGTTCTCTGTAACTCCGTGAAAGAAAGTACCTTGCAGATGGGCACAAGGCAGTGCTTGTGTGCTGTGTCTGAAGGAAGCAGCAGCATGGTACTTTCAATCTGGAGAGGTGATAAGTCTGAAGGACAATGGGAATAGCCAGACTAAGGTAAGAAAAGCTTGGGGCTACTGCTTGCATCTGTTTATGGTCAGCAGAGAATACAGTATACCTTGATGAAGCAGCTTCTGGGCTAAATTAGCTTTATGGGGAGAGCTGAAATAGAAACAGAGAAATCTGGGATGTTGCAGGAGGTGAGGCATGAGGGTAGCCTGACATGGCTGGTCTGTGAGGCAGGGCTGGGATCACCACATGGGTTTCAGGCACTGTGATTGGGATGTGTTGTTGCTCCTGCTCTCCCATGGGGAGCTGTCTCGATTTCCTGTCCTGATGTCTTGCTGCCTGGTTCTGATGAATGGGGAGGTGACATCCTGTCTCCTTCTTGCTGTCATGACTACAGAGGCCAGGATGTTTCAGATACATCTCTTCCAGTTTCAAAATTTTCACTGTTATCAGAACAATTAGATGTGGTGTTGTTTTGTGCTGGTATTTCTTTTCCAGCCTTGTCTTGTCTAGGCTTAAAATTACTATATTTTAACTGTTTTAAGCAAAAATTGCCTTGCCCATCAGCTTATTTATTTGACAGTGGCAGCTTCAGTGCATGTGAATCACTAACATCACTGTCCCACAGTGTAACTTGTAGAAGAAATCATAATTCTTACTTCAGTGTGATAGTGTGAAGTAAATGAAGTTTAGGAGATCCATAAGAGTGAGTTGTTTGCTTGCTGCTATTGAAAATAATTTATTGTCAAATTAATGTTGACTGCATTTGGCTTTGTAACTGAATCTCCAAGGTACTGATGCTATTACATGGATGACAAAAGTGAGAATGGGGGAAAAAAAAAGAGAGTAAGGCCATAGTTAAGTAATGAGGAAACTGGTATCCAATAAGATTAAACAGTATGCAAATATACCATTTAATTCTTTCTGGGTTTACTAAATCCTTTTAATATAGTAATAAATTGTAACTAACTTGATTGAATTTCTGTGTGTTTGTGAATAGAGTGTTTCTGGGATAGTGACAAATAAAAATGTATTCTGTATGAAATTTCATTGATGTTTTAATGAAGATTCACCAGTTTTAAAAATCTGATAATAGGGTGGATTTTCCTTTTTTTCTTTCTATCTCTAGATACTTAAATGACTTAAATATTAGCTAAAGTTAATCTTGGGGAAAAGTTATCTTGTGAGGAATCTCTTTCAGACTAATCTACTTCTTGCATCATTGCTGGCAGGTAAACAGCTGTGAGGAGATGATCAGACTTCTATACAGCAGTGTTACACACAGCTGATGTATTGGTGCTTTTATATATATATGTGTGTGTGTAAATATATATACATAATTAGTCTTGTATTCATCCTGACTGTGACCGATTTTAGAGTACTAATGCATGCCATACCACTTATGTCAACTGGTCATCAAAGTTGTGACATATTCAAGTTTTGAGATAGAAACATATATTTCTGTGTATAGACGATTTTGTAAAATATAATTTTGTTGGTAAGTGAAAATTTTCCTGCTTGTTCCCACCCTGAACACCCTTCCTGTACCTTAATTCTCAGAAAGAATGGAGTACAATTTGCTGTTTAATGCGAGAAATGAGAGGAAACCCATTGTACTACCCAGATTCTTTTGCTCACTCACCCAACCCAACAATGTGTTTCATATGATGAGATCAAATAAATAGTCTTCAGCTTTATACACTCAGCCAAGTTTATCATGTTTGTAATGCTGCTTTCTATGGTTCATGCCCTCTACTTAGCTAATTCTCCAAATACTCTGTATTCATCTCTTGAACTGAGTGTTATAATCTTTATATCTTGCTTAAGTAAGCAGGCAACCTGTCTCCCTCCTTACATGGGGTTTCTAAAGAATTCTGTTCAATAACATACAGCCAATAATATAATGATAGGTGTCAGGAAGAGAGACAATACCTCTCAACATGGGAAGCAGAGCCATGAGACACTGAATTGGGAGGAGATGCTAGGGTGGGTTTCTATTAGTCTGCTTAAAGGCTCAGGAAGGTGAGACATTTCCAATTTCTAAAGGAAATAACTCATTCTCCTTAAACAGGTAGACTGTTGGGGGTTTTGTTTCATTTCTCCTTTTGCACAGAAGGTTTAAGGGTGGTTTGTGTATGTGTATCCACATATTTGTTTCAGATAAACATTGCTCTTGTCACTTCAGTCGAAGAATCTGAAATGATAGGAAATGACACTAAAATGCAAAGAAGTAATTGATCTAGTCAGAAGCTAGGCAAGAGCGAAGTTTTACATTGTTACAGAAAGCACTGTAATTCATGCTTTATGTATACCATGCTGCCATTAAGTTAAACTAGCAGAGAGAACATTTATTTTGTTTTGTTTTATTAAAGGATGGCTTTATTTAGCTTCTTTGGGGACATTCAGAGGTACTGAGCTAGAGTTTGTGACTCCGTGTTCTTTCCCTTAGCTTTCCTTTAGCACAAATTCCCAGTAATTTTCACTGTACAAACTCCTGATGCCTGTCATTGAGGAAGGGCCATAAATGTATTTCATCATCATATTTCTTAGGAATTATAGTTGCTAGCTGTCTGTAGCTTTCTTAAAAAACTTTCCAGAAATGTTTGTTCATGTATTCAGTAATGCCCAGGAGAGTTACACTCCTTGTTTCCCTTGACAAACAGTCACCAATACATGTGTCCTTCCAGTGCCTGCTGCATGATCCAAGTGGACCACTGGGGAAAGACAATATAAAATAGAAATTGCAGTATCAGCCTACTGAGACCACAACTCCTCTTGTGGAAAATGAAATTTTGCAGATACCTGGCTTAATTTCCAGTGGCATGGTTTCATACCCAAAATTATCCTTTTGCTGGGATGTTCCTTAGCTAGGTGGCTGAACCTGCCATTAATTACAAGCAGCTGGAGTCTGCTAGTATGCTCACCTGCCTGCCAACAGCAGCTGGTAATATGTGAAGGTGATTCTTCGGTTTGCCTCCCTAAAACATTGCCAGGTTAAAGTAAGAATCTGAATAGTTAACATTTTTATGCCTCTCACACTAGGTTATTTTTGTAGCTAAAACTCACTTTTGTTGTAGCAGTAAATGTCTGTTAAACTCTTAGTGGTACATTCTAAATGAAACCAAATTTCTGTGGAATGATTTCTTTAAGGTTTTGAAGTGTAGTATCATCTTTAAAAAGCCATGAGCCTGGGCATACTGATGCTGGGAGACCTATTTCCTTCCTATTTTTTTAAGAGTTTTTCTTGTTTATTGTGGTAAAAACATGATGGTTTCAGTTTATTCAGACAAATCCTTGCTATAGGATTTGTTCTTAGTTTCAGTTTCCATTGATGTATTTTGTGACTCTTAGGTGAAATGTACAATACTAAAACTTCAGACATCCATTACTTCTTCTGTATTTAGAAGCAAATTACCAGCCCATGTTGTTAAGCAGTCTTTACTTATCTCTTTAACCAATTAAGAAAATTAAATTTTAAGCATTGTGATCATTTTAATGAATTACGTCTCAAATACTGTGAAATACAGTTCCTCAATTAATGTCCTTAAAAGTAAGAAGGATTCTCTGTCTTATCTATAACATTTTTTGTTTTTTCAAGTAAGATAATACAGCAGTTTAAAACTATTCCAAGTATTAAAAACAAAGATCTGGGTGGAATCTAACTTGCCATGTGTGAATAGTCCTGCACAAGAACCTGCCTGTGTTTTCTGTATCATGAACTGGGAAATGTGGGTTCCTGGAAAAAGTCCCAGAAGGAGATCCAATAGAACTGCTATATTCACCTGGCTTAAATATGAAAATGATATTGTTATTATTATTATTATTATTAAGCCTATTACAAAATTTGTTGATGCTGCAGAGCTTTAATTTAATTTCATTTATGGATTAAATAATTATATAGGAGTTACAGTCCAAAAATATGGGCTTCCAGCTGTCTTATATTAAACTGAGTTGTTTAGCAACATATCAAAACATTTCCATGGAAAGATTGCTATCTTTTTTTTAATTAATCCCATAGGCAGCTTTTACAAATGTTTTTGTACTATAAATGATTACAATGAGGCATGAAAGCATATGCAGAGAACAAAATTCCCCCATCTTGCCCTTCAAGTTATGTTTTAATACCAACCTGATAGCATGGTTTACAGAGGTGTGTTACTTGATCATGGTCCTATCACATCTATTTTGTACCAATCCCTGATGAAACATTTCATATAGTCTTCCTTTTTCAGGAGAAAACCTAATGCTGATTTCTTGAGTTCTGCACAGCCCATGCTTTTCTGTCTGTTAGAAGTGGCCATAGGAGAGCTATAGTAAAGCATTGCTAAAACCACTCTTAATGTTTTCTTTCAGGAATTACAGCAGAAGTCATAGTTGTAGCCTCATTTGATGAACTGCACAAACGAGCTCAGGAGGCCAAGGGGAAGATTGTTGTCTACAATGAACCTTTCATCAGTTATGGTGAAACTGTCCAATACAGGTTACAGGGAGCAGTGGAAGCTGCTAAAGTTGGAGCAGTGGCATCCCTCATTAGGTCTATTGCTTCTTTTTCTATTCACAGGTAAGAATTTTTCTCTTTTCTTCCTACAATTCGCATTTCAATATTAGCTGAAATGTCATTTCTGGGCAGGCATTTTTGTTCTCTATGTCTTAAACATTGCCAGTTACGAGTGGGTGTTTGGTTTCGAAACTATTGGCTTCACAACAGTTCTTTTCCCCCGTGCTTTGTCATTCTTTCAGAATGTTTTCTTATTTTTTTTGTTCTTGATCCAAGATTTGTATGATATTTAAAGAACTTTCTGCATTCTCAAGGCTGCCATAAATATTCTGAGAAGAACCAAAGCCAAATGTCTTTGGTAGCAACAGGCTGTCAGTGATGATTTAAACTGATCATTCTGTGTGTTTGACTAGAATGTCTGTGTACAGTTTTCAATGTATTGTTAATTCTCCTAGCATATGAGGCTGACTTGTACTAGATGAATGAGTAGTCTGCTTTGAACATAATATTTAGAACACTTCACCAGCAAGGTTTGTAATTCTCACACTGCTTTTTAAGTAAGGTATGTGGAAATAATGATTTTTTTTTTAAATGGAAATATTTTTAGATTTCTTAGTACATTATTTGTTTATCCCTGTAGTGTTACATTACTGAAATTATATATTTTAATCTTCTGGTTGGTAACAGAATTCCTTTTTTATCTGGGAGTTTTTTCCAACTCTGAAAGCTTACACTTAAAATGCTTATCTATTGTGAAAAAGACTAGTTGAGGCATAGAGAGGAAATGGAGAAGGGTTCAGCCATATAGTGGAAGGCTGACAGATGCACACTGTCCTTTAACACAGTGTTTTTAAAATCTTACTCTGTTACTGGTGACCGTAATGCCTGCAGTGATCTTTGCATAGGAGCCTGCTGGCTGTGATGGGAGTTCTGGTCAGGCCCAGGCAGCAGAGCTGGACTGAGGACTGGGTCAAGACAGGCCCATCTGCCTGCCACCATCCTGTCCCTGAACAGGACTGGCAGGACATATGTGATACCAGACACAAAGCTTGACTGCTTCAACTGTAGAGCTCTGTTAGTAAAATCATTTACATAAGACAACATGAACATTTTATACAAGAGGTGCTATATTTTGTAACATTCTTTATTTGGAAAGTACATGTTTAGAGCAATACAGATTGTTTATTCCTCCCCTAGTTGCCCTCTCAGTAACTTTACCCACAGAGGAGTCATTGGCAGTAGCTAATCGCTCACTGAATTTGTGCCACGACATAACCTAGACTTGTGTTCTGTTTAAGTAACACCGTGGTTTCTTTTTGATCTCTGCGCCTAGGTTTTCTTTCTGCAGAAGTCTAGGTTGGTAGGTGGAAAGCATGATATAGCTTTGAGTCTTTCTTGAGACTGGAACTGGGAAGTGACTTGGGAGGCATTTTGTGGCATGCTTGAATCCACTTCTTCAGAGAGAACATGAGTGGTCACACCTCAGCAATATAAGTATGCAAGCTTCTCCATTTCTAATGCTTCAGAGAATCAGAAAAGTCAGTAAAGCCAACTTTATTGGAACACATGCGGAGTGCTTCTGTAGTTGCTTGGTAGCATTTTTATATGCTTGTCCTGATTTCAGCTGGGACAGAGTTCATTTTCTTAGCAGCTGGTACAGTACAGTGGTTTGGATTCAGCATGAGAACAACACTGATAACACAATGATGTTTTGGTTGTTGCTAAGTAGTGCTTACCCTAAGTCAAGGACTTTCCAGTGTCTCAAGCTCTGTGAATGAAGAGCTGCACAAGAAGCTGAGAGGGAGCACAGCTAGGACAACTGACCTACATTGACCAAAGGGATATTCCATACCATAGGATGTCATGTTCAATATGAAAACTGGGGGGAAGGAGGAGGGGAGCTTGGCTGGAAGGGGCCAATCACTTCTTGGGAACAGGCTGGACACAGGGTGGTGAGCGCTTGCATTGTGCATCAGTTGTTTTTCTTGGGGTTTACTTATTTGCTGTTGTTAGGGGGATTTTTGCAATTAAAATTATATTTTTTAATAATATTTCACTCTTTTTTTTTTCCGTACTGTTTAACTGTTCTCAACAGTCCTCAACCCATGAGCTTTTGTATTTCTTTTTCTGAGTCTTCTTCCCATTACACTCACGGAAATAATGAGTGAGCAGCTGCATGGTACTTAGTTGCCAGCTGGGGTTGAACCATGAAAATGCTCCACATTCCTCTAAAGAAGTCAAAATTACCTGTTAAAAATGCTTTCTGAAATATGAAGCACTTGAATTCAGATACCATCCAAACTATTACTAGTATATTTCTTGGTGTTCAACAAATGTGATGTTTACAATGTATTTTCTAATACTTAGAATTTTCTAATAAAACTCATAACAATGAACAGATAGTGGAATGTGCTTCAGAAACAGTCTTACAAAAAAAATATATGGTTTCAAAATAGCCGTATTTGGTATAATCAAAGAATATTGCAATCTATGTGTTGATTTTCTGAAAGCCAGAAGATGATCTGTCCTGTCTGTAGTTACTGTGCTATGCAGGATTGTTCAGTTGAAAGTTACAGTATTTTCTGTTTGCTACAGTATTTATGCATTTAGTATGTAATAAAAAGCTTAGAGGTGGAGACTGAAGGAACTGGCATTACAACTTTTCAAGATTGAATGGAAGTAGATGCCAAATGCATATTTATTTAGAAGTATTGAATCCTTAATTGATACTGGGAGCAGAGGTGTCATTTCCAAAAGCAATTTCAAGTGTAGATGCTGCTATGAAGCATTTTTTTACTGTGTACTTTTTGTACTCTCTTCAATTACCTTCACTTAGGGTTTCTTTTTAATATGGAATATATTGGTTGATGTATTTTTTCCTATAATACAGAAGGTACTCAGGTCCAGTCCCTCCTTTTGGTTACTCAATGATGACTAGATCAGTTTCTCTTATTTTTAAAAGTAGGTATTGCTGTAGGCAGGCTGGATTTTCTTCTCTCCATGCATATTCCTGTGTTTTCTTCTCATCATCAGCTGTGTGTCCCCTTGTCTGTCCTAGCAGTGTGCTGTTCTGGATGGAATATGTGCTGGATGTGGTGCTTCTTATCTGTCAATGTCTGGAGCACTCTTTGTTCAAGTCACTTGCCTTTTTAATTGACTGGTGGGAAATACTGCCTTGCTGCAGGGAGTAGTGTGTTAGAAGGGTGAGAGATGAAAGGTAAAAACCTAATAAAAGATTTCTAAATGTTGTGAAAGTAAGTCTTGCATTCTTACAATTTGTATGCTACTGCATTGTCAACCAGACCCTTTAGTTCTTTTGCCTGTGTGTTTACATGTTCACTGATGGTATGAATAAATGATAATGAGATTATGGAGTTTTCCAAAACATCCTGGAAGAATCATCTTAGAAGAAAGTATTCTCTTCACACTGCACTATCCCAGTTTCAGGTACATGGAAGGTGGAATTTCACAATTTTTCCTAAACTACATCAAGTTTGATGGATGGAGTTTTTTGTTTTATTTCTTTGTTTGAGGAGTTTTGTTTGTTTGCTTGTTTGTTTTTCAAATTTTTCAACCCCTTTTTAACAGGGGACTGCTTATTGTTATTTAATTACTCTATTTGCTGGAACAATGTAGGCCATTTTGTGATTTGATTTCTAGGTGATCTTGGAATATGAGTAATATTGATAGGTTAAAACTAGGTACTGTCATTAACATCGTATGCTTATTTGGGCTCATTATTAAAGCTTGCTGACAAGGTGGAATTGATGAAATCACAACATGAATTAAATCAGTGTTCTTTTGCTGGTAACTTGATGGCTGTTCCTTGTTCCAGAAATGGCAAGTGGCTGCCACATTGTCAAGGCAAAAAGTGTGAAGGGAATGTTTGACCTGGTGACAGTTTATTTTTCTTTAAGGTGTGGTAGTATAACTAAGCAGTAATAAAACACCCTGGGGATTCAAGCATCCCAATTCTTAATAAGGGCAAGAAGGGATGAATGTCATTATCCTCAGGAAAACTCATTGATGTGTTTGTACAAGGACTCATGACACTCATTGGTGACAAGTATTTGCTGTTGAGTTTCAAGGAGTGGATTAATTAATTTTGAAAAGCATTGCTAAGTGAATAGGAAATAAAATTAGCAACCACATCTTCCTTGACCTATGAAGAGATGACAGTAGTTACATGGTATTGCAATGTTATGTGGTGGTTGTGTCTCGTGGCATTGTCTGCCTCTTCTGTTAAATGATTCTCTTGCTACTTTATTGATAGCATGTAAGAGTGGGGAATTTTTATGTAGGAGAAGGTAACTGTAATTAATAGGTAATTAGCAGAAGGGACACCCTCCACTAGACTAAGCTGCCCAAAGCCACATCCAGCCTGGCCTTGAACACTGCCAGGGATGGGGCATCCACAGCTTTTCTAGGCAACCTGTTCCAGTGCCTCAACACAGTCGTGGTGAAGGATTTGGTCCTAATGTCTAATCTAAACCTGTTCTGTCTAGATTATTTGCCGAAAAGCCATGCTGTGAAATGAGAGTGTCCACAAGGGTGACAGAGGAGTCCTGCTACTTTATACTAATAAAGGGACCCGTGGGGTCCCTCGAGGTTTTGGAGGATGCAGCCTCCTTTTATCCTTAACTCCCGACCACATGTTGCCCTCTTCCTTTCCACACTGATGAGGTACTAGGAAAGTACAGCCTTCCCAAACTGCCAACCACGTATTCCCCCATAAACATATATTGTCATTTTCCCCTAGAATTTGGAAGTTCAGGATATCTGGGTTTTGTGGATCCATAAGAAGTTCAGACTATCTGTTCTCTGCAATAATTCGTGTGGACCCATTTCTCCTAAAGTTAACTGTCTGGGTTCTGTAACAAACTTAGTGGCTTGGTTTTCCTGCAGACATTAAGACTCATTTTGAAGACATTGACACCCATTTCTCCTAAAGTTTGCAAAGCCATTCTGATTGGTTCTATCAGACCTACTAATTCCGGAAGACATTAACATCCTATTTCTGCTATCGAGGACCCCCATCCATTGAGTCTTTTGTGAAGACATTA